GTTGGTGACTGCGGTCGCACTGTGCACGACGTAGGAGGAAGTGGAGAGGATCATCCACGAGCGTCAGACAGCTGTCAGGAAGCCCTGCCATCATGCCGCCCCAACCGCCGCACGAAGCCTGACGATGATGACTCTGACGCTAGATCCGGCAACGATGATGGATGAGGAGCCGACGGCCAGCCTGGCATGGGCTACGAGGTCACCGTCAAGTATAGGGTAGTTTAGAGTTTTTAGTTTAAGGTTTTAGTTCATTGGATTAAATATCATCCGGTTTTTTATACAAATTATTCTAGTTTAAATGAAATCCGGCCGTGTTTATGTGAAATCCACCTGGTTTGAACCAATTTTGTCTGGTTTGTTCATATTGTTGCTGAAATGTATGTGTCCACGGTTGGATGGCTGCCTCCCGCATTTGTGTCAGTGGACTGGTCTTGCTGTCTGCGGACGGATGCAAAAGAAAATTTACGGGTTGCCGTTGAAGATGCCCTAAGGTGCTCCTGTTGGATGATATATGATTCCATTTTCATAATGAAAATGGGGGGCATGTGACTGTTAAATATTCAGGCATTCAGACTGTTAAATATTAGAGATAGGGTACCATAGTACATACTGCTCGGTTTAGTTTAAACTTACATCTAAGATTCCAACTTGACTTTACGTACCATTTTAGATAGAGACCAACATTTCCATATAGTCTAACTGCTCCCTAACGTGGCTATTCATTGGATCCTAGCGATGTCAAGTCTTCCTAGGTTAGCAGATCTCGTACAAGGTTGATCACATGTCCTGTTGCTCCCATCTCTTCCAGAATATTCTGGAAAAATAAACGTTATTTATTTACTTATAACAGTGGTTGCATGGTCTTCACTGAATTCAGTAACAGAACGGGAATTAAGTGGCAAAAATGGCAGCCAAGGGCACGCATGACACTGTTAATCGACAGAAAAGAAGTACCAGGGCATAGCAGAGCAATGGGAAGAGGGACCGGCGTCCGGAGATGCGATTGCAAGTCAAAAGATTTCTTCCCCCGATGGCAGGGACTAGCAGCTCTGCAGCTTGCTCTTTGTAGTTGGTACCGATGGACAGAGTACACCGATCAACGCGCGTTGATCACCATAACAAGTTTCAGTTTCACCAACACAAGATACGAAGCAAAAGACCATCAACATCAATCTGCAGCATCCAGCCCAGTCTCTTCTACGTAGTTTATTACACTGCAATTTACAGACACTACGAGTAATACACACAAGAAAACGCAAGACTTGTGCAGGAATTAGCCCAAAAACATTAAGCAGCTGCTTGAAAAGGACCAATAGATAGCCAAACGTCGCGCCAAAGAATGAGCAGATAGTTGACATCTTTCACTTGATATACCAAACGTTGGCTAGAGGACATGATCAACCAAGTACAACACATGAAAACTCCTTGGCAGTAAGCCTCAATGCTACAACAGACATTGCGCACTCTTTATTGAATTCAGCAACAAAAAGGGGCTTAATTAAGTAGCAGAAATGACACCAACAAACACACACACACACACACGCACCGCTAATCCACAGAAAACAGTTGGCACACATACAAAAGCACACAGAAATTGAAAACGGAGCCGGATTGGCATCCGGAAACATTGCAGTGAATCAGACGATATCTTCCACTATGCCATCACTGTCCTAGATTGACCTTGGGCAGGTTCTTCTTCAGTGGCTTCCTCCTGGAAAGTGGTTGGCCTGCTGGCACGAGAACTTGAAGGATCATCCCTCTCCTCTCCTCCGTTGGCATGATGATGATGATCCACCCTCTGCAGCTTGTCTGCCAACGTCTCCATCCCCATGTAATACAATAGGAGCCAGACATAGGTAAGGTACTCCGTCCCCGTGGCCATACCCTTGGCATGCAGGTACCCTCTGCATCTTGCTGCGGAGAAGCACATCATCTCCACCCAAACGCCTTCAATCACAGTCCACATCTTCTCTTCAGGCAGACCCAATAACACTTTGGAAATACTCCAAGCGTCAAGGATAAGAGTGTGCTTTTCTGTAGCTCAGGCTACACGGTACCCCTTATCTTTGCCATCCATTTATGCATCAAGATCCGTGCAGACACATTTGTCTTTTTTGTTTCTCTCAAACGACACAACATATGAACTTTAACTTTTGCAGAACAACAATACATTCTAACTACAATCTAGGAAAAAAACTTTCAGATTTTTTCATGCATTTTAAATACTTGAAATAATATTTTTATTCAAAGAAAATCTCATTTTGTATATTTATATCAGACCAAAAAATCTTAAAGTTTTTTCACACATTGATGTTCTAATGTTTGTTCGATCTGCAAAGTTTGAAGTTCATATATTGTTTCATTTTCGAGAAACAAAAAAGAGAAATCTTCTTGTTGTTAGTTAGTTGAAGAGTACGGATCTCAAAGCAAGGTTGGAGGGTTGAGGATAAGAGGTTCCATGTAGCCTGAGCTACAAAGAAACTTTGGAAATACTCCAAGCGTCAAGGATAATGCCCCCATATGAAGGTACAGATCCTCCTTCACCATCCACCGCATCAATTATTCTCTGCGTAAAATCTCTTTCCTTGGGAGGTTGCTTGCCTCCCTGGATAATGATGCCCTGCAGTTCCCCATAGGCAGATGTGAAAAGGTTCCTTCTGGCGCCTGCCATTAGCATCTCGGGATTCACAAACAATAGATACATCATGTAGTTGGACATTTCTCTGCATTGGACGGCCCTCTTGTGATGATCAGACTTTTTGCACCAAGCGGCAGGACACGAGTCTGGCGTGCACTGATACCTAGAATTGTGGTAACAAGATGCACCCTTGTCGTAGTAGCAGAAATCCGTGGCGAGATGCCAGAGAAGAACACTCTCGTCCAAGGCCCCCTCCAAGCTCCATCCCAGTGCGTGGTAGCATCCTTGGCGCTCAAGAGTAAACTGGCCCCTATTGTCATTGAACTTCCTGTAACTGGAAACATCTCTTATGTGTTGTTCCCACCCTCCTTTCACATACTTGAGCACTAACTTTGTGATGCTGAAAGATGAGGAGCAAGACTTCATGTGCCAACGTTGCTGAAGGGAGTCGGTGCATCCCAAGAATCCCACCATGCTCATCATCCAGGAATGCTCCCTGTTGCGGACAAGAAGCCCTATAAGGTTGTACTGGGAAACCATACCATCATCATATTGCGGCTCGACTCCTACCCGCCCTCCTTTATTCTTTTTTCTATTTTCCATTTGAATTCACATTAGCATCGCTGCATAAAATTCCAGGGCAGCAGTACAACAGAGCAGCACATATGTGACCTTGACATCATCTTCATTGTAAGCTTCTCTATGACTATGGTGAAAGAGGCCTATGGCTGCGAATGGAAGGTACAAAGCAAATAAACGGACAAAATAACAAAAGATGAGTACCATCCGCTCTGATCTGCTGGGAATTATATGGTCCTTGAGCTGTAAATCTGAATAAACCATGGTAGGGTGCAACTTTTCTTTGGTGTAGAGGAGCTGAAATGTCTGAGAGAGAAAATCCGTCAGCTTCATATAGAGACAGTCGTCATCAAGTGCTGAGAAAGACTGTAGCATCCTGATTCGATCATCAGTAGAAGGAGATGCAAGGTCTACAAATAACTTATAAGGAGTGGCTGGTGCTAAAAGGTTATCAGTTGCCCCAGCACGAGTGGTTGCCTTGGCAATGAAATCTTGAAGCGGATCAATCTTGAGCTTACATTTATGTGTGCCAATCGGCCTCACAATAGGCTCATTAGAGCTCACCAGGCTGTTAATGCTAGCTCTGTTGAGAGCTAAGGGCTTCTCAAAGCATTTGAGGATACCGGGGATGAAGAGCAATATTGAAGCAACCAGCAAATTCTTGTCGCTGCCGACTAGCCAAGATTTGCAGAAGACATACGCGGCCACGGTGATCTGAGACATCGAGGTGAGGATGTGGCGCGTCCACAACTCGTTGTCCTCCATGTTGTAGGCGGTTATGCCATCCTGTCCTCCAAGGCGTATGAGCAGGATAGGCGCCCAAAACACCTCGAGGATGCTGCCACCGCTGTCTCCATCCTCCTGCCGTGGCTTCCTGTGGCGGTTGAAGAGGGTGGCCAGCGCATAGATTGCAATGGCATCGCTGCCCAGGTACGCTAGCCATATAACGGGTCTAAACCAGGATCTGATGGGGAACTTACGCGCGTAGGACGCGACGAAGAGGATGTACTGAATCACCAGGCTGCTGAGGACAAGGATGCGCAGCGGCCACTCCTCCCACCATTGCAGAGCATCTGAGACACCCATTCTAGTCTAGCTCTCTCCCTCTTGCCCTGGCAAGCAAGCACACTATAGCTAGTTGGCTAAGCAAGAGGACGATTCATTTCAACTTCGACGGCCCCTTATGGTTATAAACATGCATGCACATGCTTACCTGCCTACTGATCGAATCATTTGTGCGACCATTATTGCATATATGAGTATGGCTTGCCTTCAATTATCCTTCCATTCTACTTATTTAACTCTTGCAAGGGTGGCATGACTTCCCTTCTAAATATAATGCTTCCCTTCTTCCTATTCTATATGGTATCGCACGTTACCAAGTTGTCTAACGACTTTATAATAACTAGACTAGAGAACCAAGCAGTTGACCCCATGACCATATGAAGCCATGATGACTAAAGGGGCCGACTAGAGGTAAGTAGACTGAAAAATGTTCTTATTTTTTTGCGAGAAAAACGTTTCGTGCTCAGTAGCGGACTCTAGGGAGCTTTTGACTACTGGGTGCAACCGATGGAAGACGATTGCACAGGTTATTTACAACCGGTTTGGATGACGGTCCAATAATAGGATAGGTGTTTAGTTTTTCGGTCCTGTTTTCTGCCGGTTGTGGCATTTTCTCATGTCTTTTTATCTTTTTGCTCCTTTTGCCCTCCACCCTAAAATAGTAGAGGAGGCCTCAATGCTACTCGTGCTTCTGTTTTCACTCAACGACAGATCGACTAACCCATAATCTGTTTCAAGCAACTGACGGGCAGCTAAACTGATAACTAAATACCATCCCTCCTATCCATGTTAATAGACGCAACCATTAAGTTCCTAACATAAAATAAGTAAATGTTAGTATATAGTAATGATAGTTCATAGCTACATGTCTGTCGTTGTTTCCACAATAACACGCTGGGAATCATCTAGCATCATATAGATTTTATACATATTTAGCATATAAGTCTCTTTTTTGCATCGAAAGCATGCTACAGTTTTATCTTATAATATGGAAAGACGTTCAGTACATCCTTCGTGGATTAGTTTTGACTTGTGTACACCATCCATGCAAAAGTGGTATATGAGCAGCATTTCAATTTCACCAACTAGCGGTTAATTTTAAAATACATATTTTTTATACACTAAGTGGATGCCCATGCATGGTTTCTATCAGTAACATATGTGATATCCTTGGAAATATCCAAAAATATATGTTAGTATTTACTAATAAGAGTATGTGGGATAGACTTTCGGATTTTAAGTTCTCGTCTTAATTAACTAATACTTAGAGAATTTATTGTATGATTAACGTGCATTGGATTCTTGATGCACCTTTCGAGTGTCACGCCCGCACTATTTGACGCTTATTGTATCAATTTGTAACTCAGCCGACTCATTTCGCAACCGGAAATATACCGACTCGAACAAAGCGAATGGAGAAGTTTTCTTCCTGGTTTACTAGTAGTTTTTCTACTGGTTATCAGTCAGTTTTTCCATTTGGTTTTCTAGAAAACACAAAGAAATTAGCTAGTTTAAGAAAAAAACATTTTTAAAAATGTGAATTTATCTGAAATTTAAGATTTCCTTTTTTTGAAAGAATTTATTTATTTAAAAAATTGTGAACTTTATAAGAAAGTCTGGTTTCTTAAAAAAGAGATATCTCTTAGAAAATTTCTGTTTTTTCTAAAAACACATGAACAATTTTCAAGAAACATGGACATTTTTCTTAAATTTTAAAAAATAAAAAAATAAATAAAAAGGGGAAATAAGAAAGGAAAACAAATAATAATAATAAGAAAAAGTGGAAATAAAAACCAAAAAGGAAACAGGTAAAACCAGACACAGTCTTCTAGAAGCTTCTAAAACGGGAAAAACCAACCCATAGACATTCTAAAATGGTAAACCAGCAAAACCCTTGTTGGTCGCAATAAACGACCTTTCATCACTCTCACAATGTCATCAAGCCTGAACGTTTTACCATATTTTCTGAAGTGGATTTCCTATAAGTAACTCAGAAACATATTTTCTGAAGTACTCCCTTCGTCCCAAAATAAGTGTCTCAAGCTTAGTACAACTTTGTATTAAAGTTAGTACAAAGTTGAGACAGTTATTTTGAGACGGAGGGAGCAGGGAGTAATAGTAATAATAAGTGAAAACCAAGATTAAGATAGGATTGGAAGTGCGTGCAAGCAGGACGGGCTTTACAAACAAGTAAAACCGTGCTCTGTATTCAGTTGCTGCTCTGCAACCAGCCTATAGATTGCACTCTCTGAACCTCAAATCAATACAAGTTCACTGTCTTTCCTTCACTCAGTTTAACACAAGAGTTCCTTGATGTCAGAAGAACACGTTCAGTTTCTTGCCAAAGAACTTGTTCAGAAAAATAACAGAAGGATGACTGAAGGTGGAGAATGAAATGGTATAAGCAAAAATCAAGATTAATATAGATTTGAAGTAGCGGGTTACAGGGACGTACCTGCAGGCACATACGATTCATCGCTGGTACATAAAACAACTCAGAACAGCAGGCCGGTCTGGAACTTGGAGAGTGGAGACACATTCATGATTCATCATAGAGAACGGTCGATGAACCGGTCTCTTAGATGAGCGAGACTGCGAGACACGTCAGTTAGATGCATGACCGGTGAAGCAAACACACAGGCACGTATGTCTGTGTCATCTTGTTAACATCAATATCACTACATTTAAAAGTGATTATGTAGAAAGCATTTAATAAACTGTAGAAAATACTGTAAGCATATTTGTATATAACAGCATTGAAATCGTCAAGAAAATGGGAGGAACTAATTTATCATGGGTTGACTTCGAGAAACTTTCTAGCTACTCCAAAAAGGGGAAATTACATAACAATAATAGGCAACATGAATAATGGTCACCAAATTCGGCCGTACGACACATCGAGGGAGAACTTCAAGTCGGCGCATGAAAAAGAAAGACAATTATCATGCTAAAAATCTTAGGAACTTGGGAAGTGGGCGAGGTGAAAGGAGCAGCAGCAACTTGATCTGACTTGTTGATGGGAATCAGGGAGGCTGCCACCAACAGAAGATACGTAGCAACAGTAACAGAGAGCGTGTCCAACATCAGCCTGGTCACAATGTATACACAGTGCAGGCAGTTAGCCTCAATGGAATTTCTCTTGCATTATGAACAAAACAAGATCGATGAAGCAAATAATATATGCAATGGCACTATGGCTTCATGCAGGATTCATTAATTGTATGCACGTAACTCGAATACTCTGATCGAAACAACCGTTGTCCAGGGACCAAGAAAGATCAAGTTAAACAGTGTACAGATTTGCATAAGTAAGTACCTGCAGGCACCTAGGGTATGCATCCTTCGTCCAACAGGTGAACATGTAGTGAAAACGGCATGCCAGCAAGAATATCTTGGACACATTCGGTGAATCGACCTCACAAGAAACGAAGTGCTGAACCTGCACGACAACTGAACGCACGAGGGAACGAAATTAACGGAGATAAAACATAGCAAGCTACAAAATTAACGAGGTCTTCTTGTCCGGGAGAGAGAATTAGTACCTCAAATATTTATTATATGACAAGATAGAGTAGGGTTGTTGGGATGTGCCCTCGCTGTTCTCTCCGCAGCTGCCTTTGCTTGCTCAAAGATTAGATCGGAATCACCCAAGCGGACTGCTATTTTACATTTGAGAGTCATGAGTTTGGGAAGATTTTCGATTCCAAAATCAAAAACACCATCCTCCATATCGAAGTCATATATAAGGAAGAGGAAACCCATGGTAAGTCTGTCTAGCTTGGGCATGGATCCTACTTCAAACATGAGATGTAGCGGGTAACGAAATGCATCGTAGCAGAAGTTCCTCAAGCATGGGAAGCCAACGTCACCACTGATTCTGACCGTCCTGTCTTCAGTTAACCGCCGACAATATTTGGGGTATCCATTTACTGTGCTGCCCAGAATAAGATGGACTAGAGCCGGTAAGGCTCTGAAGATGTTGATATCATCCTGCCCGACTCCCTTCAAATTAAGGCATAGCCGCTGAAGGTTGACGAGGGAGCCCAACAAGTTCGGAAACTGTGGAACAAGTGAAGCATGGACCTCAAGTGATTGGAGGCTAAGCGGACTAGACTGCATGGACCTCTCCCCATCGCCGTTGATAAGTAGAGAGCGAAGGTTCTGACTGGATAGGTGTTGAAGTGAAGAGGCTATAGCTTCCATGCACACCTTCTCAATTCTTATGTGTGTGTCATAAGGATTATCAAACCTGAGGAACAGCTGCCTCAGATTCTTTAGCTGCCCAAGTTCTTGCAGCAAATTAAATGTCTGCCCGAAGACTGTAACACAACCCAGTGTCTCCAGTGCTTGCATCTTTGCTATTCCATCAGGAATTTTAACAAATTTCGGCATAAACAGACGCACCAGTTTTCCAAGATTGGAAATAGCTGCTGGTAGTTTCCTGACTTTGGTGTCTGTTATGTCCAACATTTCTAAGAAACATAGATGACCAATTTCTTCTGGGAGCTCAGTTATACTTGTCTCGCTCAATATCAAGCACCTCATCTGAAGCAACCTCCCTATATTTGTAAGATGATGGTTTTCCAATTTCTTGCAACCTTTAAAGTCCAAGACACGTAAACGCCTGAACTCATCAAGAGAAGGTATTTCAAATGATTGAACAAACACATTGAGTGATCGAACGTGAGACAGCACCATATGTGCTGGAATAATAGAATTTCCTTGATTACCAAGTTGGAGGGAGAGTCTACGAAGTTTAAATTGTGTCCCAATAGTTATATTAGGCACACCTATTAAAGTAACAAAGTTCTCTTCGATAGACTTGGATATGATGAAATCAAGAATTATGTCATGAACTCGAAAACTCTTCACCTCACCAAATAGGCCAGTGTGTAAAACTTGGATCAAACTTCTATTGACAAGCTCATTAACGCACATCTCTCCGAAATCATATGTTGTACACCTGCCTTCTTTGTGAATAAATCCTTCGGCAATCCATTTACATATCAGGGTCATCTTCTCAATAACAGAGTCCTCTGGAAATATACCCAAATACAATAGACAAGTTTTGAGATGAGGAGGAAGATCAAAGTAACTATGTGACAATATGTTTATCATCACTTCAATCACATGATTCCTTTCAAGAGCCCGACCAATTGAATCTTTCACTTCATTCCATATATCATCTGTTCTTTCTTTGTTAGCCAACAACCCAGATATAGCAATGATTGCCAAAGGTAAGCCAGCACACTTCTCCAACATTTGACATGAAATTCCTTCAAGGTGTGAAGGGCGATCTTCTTTGGACCCAAATACTCTTCTATTAAATAGTTGTCTTGAACACACTGTATTAAGTGGTCTTATAGCATAAATGGAACCACCAAATGAAGAACGACATGATTCAGCAACATCATTTTTACGAGTAGTAGTGATTATGATACTGCCAGAACTCGGCATGGGAAATGCGCTCTTAATAACATCCCATGTACGCACATTCCATATATCGTCAATGACAACAAAATACCTACACATGGATTCACGGGCGATATTAACATGACTTTAGAAAGAGTGTACAACAAGATAGACAAATAAATATAAGAAAGTTGTTCACAGTGACAACATAAAAGTAATCTGATGGAAGCACTCTGATGGAAGCAAGCTGACATAAGTGTTAAAATTATGGTTAAAAGAGCACGTCTAGGTGTGTGCTTGATCATGCCAAGGCGCCGGTGTAATCATGAGGCAAAACTAGAAATTTACACAAGCACATTTGGAACAATTGCCAAGGGAGGATGGATCCCTTACTTAACTGTACGTGTTTACGTATGAGATGAGACCTCTCTATGATTCTTTTCCACACGAATAGCACACCAGGATTCGAGCATGGGTGGGCAACATCACCACTATGAGCTCTAGCCACCAAGATAGTGCTTGGTTCTCACACGAAGCACCTTTTATAACCTAGGATATAATAGAATATACTCCCTCCATTCCCTTATACAAGAGAAATGGTCAGTTTAATGATCCAGGCTTTACGAAAAAAATGGAGAAGATCAAGAGTGATCAAAAACATTGACAAGCAGGAAGTTGTTTAACAAGCAATGGATTGAAACATTATGATGAATAACCATATGTGGTTAACAGATATAGAAGGGACATCGACCAGGATGAATCAAGCTAGGTGCAGATCTAGAGAGCTGGTGATGTGATATTAAGAAGAGAGCTAATGTCGTGGTACTAAGTCTGACAGTAAGAGTAGGGGGTACGTATGAGGAGGCAAGGCGTTAGCTACAGCGAGGTTGTACACACGAGTACACGAGTTCAAGCCCCTCTCGGAGGAGGTAAAAGCCCTACGTCTCGGTGCCCTGAGGCGGTCGACTAGAATATGGGTGTGTGTTACAGGGGGTGCGAACCCTTGTGCCAGAGGAGGGGGTGGCTTATATAGAGTGCGCCAGGAACCCAGCCGTCCCCCGTTACAGGGTTCAATGAACATTAAGACAGGGCGTTACTGGTAATGCCATCTACAAAGAGCTATTAATGATCTTAAGACTACGGAGTGAACGCCTGACCGTTTCCATCCTGAGTGACTCTAGGTCTTCTGTACTCCGAGTGGTTTCTTGTATGGTCGAGTGACCTCATCTTGGTCGAATGGAATTGGGGTATCCGAGTGAGGTAATTGGTCGAGTGGATTGCACTCCATGGTTACTTCAATCGGCATCTCTTGTTATACTTCGAAATGTCCTTGATTCTAGGGTAGTGACCTTGGGTAGGGCGTATAGATCAGGCCTATGACCCTACCCTAGGTCCATGGCATCGTCATTAGCCCCCGAATGGAGGATCATGTCCTGGTTTTCAAGCTTCGTAGGCATTCTTACTGAGTTCGAGAATCATGCTAAAACTTAAACTATATTTCAGTCGCCTTGATCGATTCAGAGGTCGTCGAGTGAAATTATAATGGGAGTCTTCGAGTGTTGATATGGTATGAAATCTTCGGCGTGATCGGTTACTCTGCGGTTCCTGGATCTCTCGGGATTCAAAACTTTGGGGAAGCGCGCGGGACGGAGCGGGCCGCAGTAAACAGAGTGGATAGACAGGGGCGCCTTGATTCTCGCACCACCTTTTTCACCACGTATCGGGCGCGTGACTGTTGCGGGATTTGACAGGATTGCTCTGGCCCATGCGTCAGCCACACGAAAGCAGACCCATAAAAGTCGTCGAGGCCGACGCATTTGCACAGTGCGCACTCTTCCCCTTCTTCTTCCTCTGCTTCTCCACCACGTTCTCCTTTGTTCTCCTCTATTCTCGACGCCACTGCCCTGCCCGTCCGCAGTCTGTCGCCATGGTTAAGGACAAGACGGCAGCCCTGGAGCGCGCGAAGAAAGCGATGGGGACAGCGAAGGGCAAGAAGACGAGTCGGGGATCATCGTCGAGATCCGGAATGCCTCCTAGTTGGATCCAGGGGGACTGGATTCGGTCCACGATCCGGAAAGAGGATCTGGAGGATATGGCCGCCGCGGGCTTGATCATCGACAGGTCTTGGAGGCTGCCGGGGAATGAGATCGAGCCTCAGCCGCAGGAGGGTGAGTGCGTCCTCCTCACAACTCACGTCGACCGTGGTTTCTCTCGGCCTCCGCATCCCTTCTTCTGGGGTTTCTTGAACTTTTTCGGCGCCCAACTTCACCATTTTTCTCCAAACACTATCACATACCTTGCTACATATGTTTCTTTGTGCAAAAACTTCTTGGGTTGTAGACCGCATTGGGGTCTGTTCAAACACATCATTACCTGTCGTTCCCAATCTATGAAGAAGGTGAACCCAAGTGACGAGAGGACGCACCTGATCCAAATGTGCGGGGATTTAGGGATTCATATGAGGGTCAGGAGTACTTTTCCCCCTATGACACTCCCTAAGTCGGTTAGGGGTTGGCAGTCGACCTGGTTCTACTGCCAGGATATTCCGACCCCCGATCAGTCGACCGGTCTTCCTCCCTACACCATGGATCGAGTCCAGCAACCTTCTTCACTGATCGTGACTGCAGCGGAGAAAGTAGAGGTGTCCATGCTAGTCGAGCGGGTAGTCCAATTGGTCCGTGAGGGTGTGAGTGGTCTGGATTTGCTGGAGGTGTTTCTCGGTCGACGCATCCAGCCACTCCAAGCTCATGATCATCCAATATGGATGTATTCGGGCACAAATGACACCGCTCGGGTCCACCCGGAGGAGGTCCCCGATGAGACGGTGGCACAGTGGCTGCAGAGCATCACTGGGAATAAAGACAACCCCGGGGGTCCAGAAGGGTTGCACCATTCGACGCAGAAAATGAGCCGGATAAGGTCTGATCCTTGTTACCGAGTGCCTTTTATTCTGATTTGCAAATATCCTTGAATTCCGATTGATGCTTTGTTTAACTTCTTGCCTTGCAGATTTATACTGAGATGTATTCGATGCCAAACAGAGAGCAAGTCCAGGAGGGAGCTGAGAGTGCGGATGAGAGCGCCGACTAGCAATCTCCCGATGACGACGATGAAGAGGAGGATAGTGATGAGTCGGACGTTGGTGAAGAAGTCGACTCACTACTTCGCACGGAACGTCGATTCAAATAGTCTCACGACCCTGCAGGTGGGCGCAATAGGGCAGCTCCTCCAAGTGCACAAGTGCAAAAACGCACTCGGACTTTGACTCCAGAGCCGTCTGAGAAGGCCGCCAAGCAACCCAAGGTTGTCCCCACAAAGCCTCGGAAGACCCTGCCCAAGATCAAGATGGACGTTCCCCTCGCTTCTGCGTAAGTGTTTTGTCTTTCTCTACGTTACTGTTGATTCATTCCTCTATTTGACCGAGTGGGTTCTGAATCATTTAGTGCTGCAACTTCTGGGACCTCCATGGACATTGGCAAGGCTCAAGGTGATGAGGAAACTTCCAAAGCGGGTACAATTTTACAATCTTGCACTTATTTTATCGGTTGGACTGTCGGATGACTGAACTCTTATGGTTGAGTCTTGTGCAGCACCCCAATATGTTATTGAACTTCCAGATGACGACGAAGAAGTGCCCCAAAAGAACATGGGAAGAAAGGGCAGGACTTCGAGCAGGAGAGTGCCTGCCAGCAAGGTGCCTCAGTTAACGTCAGCGCCAGAAACAGTGATCCATTGATCAGGAGATCCAGTTCGGGCTTCTGTTTCTTTTGCTGACCCTGTGTCGATTGATCGTCCTTCGGCGTCGATCGCTCAAGTCCCTGCTTCGTCCGCGCAACTTCATGCCTCAGATCCTGTGACTGCTCCGACTGTTCTACCAACACCGCTCTTTGCTGCCCATCATACCCCAGATGACCCGGTGGGTGCTACCAAGGAAGCCATACTCCAAGCAGGCTTTATGATGGAAAAGATGAAGTTGGTGCACGAGGTTAGCAAGGCTTCCTATATTGCCAGCTCTACTCTGCAAATTAATGTCAAGGTCAATTGATTTCCGACTGATCTTTTAGTTTGATTTTTGCCCTGCTACGATATGGTACTTGTAAGCTGCTGCTTTATTATCCGTAAGATGTCCATGGATGAGTGTTTTGGAACCTTCCATCATGAGTCTGCACTTTACATCCATTCACCCACTGGGTGCTTTAACTTTTGCGGAATAGTTCTTCCACTTGAGTCGACCAAGTTGAGTCGAGTGTATCTTTGAATCAGTGGGGGCACGCAGAGTGCACCCACTGGGTGTAGTCCCCGAGACCGCCGTCGAATGTTTGATTCGGCGGGGGTCTTTATCAAATGTCTCTTTACAGAGTTTCCACTCGGATTTGACAGATCGTGTCGAGTGGGATCCAAACCAGTGGGGGCACGCTGAGTCCACCCACTAGGTGTAGTCCCCGAGACCACGGTCAACTGCGGGCAGTTGGCTGGGGTCTGAGAATCTCTCTATACTCATGCTGGGCAGACCATGCCGAGTGGTAAATCGGACCAGAGGGGGCACGCCAAGTGCACCCACTGGGTGTAGTCCCCGAGACTACTGTTGAATGTTTGATTTGGCAATAGTCTTAGAACACTTTTTGCTGTGTTTGACCTTTGTTTATGTCGACTTTCATTTCTTATTTGTTGACTACAGAAATCTTGTGAGCTCGGGGCCCAATTTGCTGAGTTGGAGTAGAAACAGATCAGTCTCAACCTGGATCTAGAGCTGGCCAAGAAGAATCTTCAGAAGGCTAAGGATGATGCGGCTGCTATGGGAGGTAATAACTCGTCAACTGTCCACCTTATAGTTTTTCCCTTTTAGTCTTTTGAACCGAGTGACTCCACTCGAACAGATGTGCGTAGTGAAAACCGTCAACTCCAAGCTCGTCTGAAGAATGTTATTTCTTTAGTCAAAATGAAGAAGGCTCTGGAGCAAAAGGACCTTGACCTTGCCGCAGCACAGAGGGAAGGCGCGAGAGAAAACAACACTTGCCGACAAGAAGTTGGCTTCAGTCAGCAAGTTGGAAGAGGAAAATGCGCAGCTGAAGACTGTTGTGAACGAAGCCAACAAAGAAGTTGCGCAGCTAA